TACACATTATCACCAAAGAATGCATGGTTATATCGTTATGTTTTGCACACGAATATATTTCTCTTTGATCTTGGTCTCAACTACTACCCTATTCTTAACGCCCCTGCAAGTCGTTGAAGATTAGGACGCTCCTGATGCTCGCTGTCAGCGAAACTATTTGAGGAATTGCTTATAACCAGCCTATATGCATACAAATTGTAGAAAATACTAGAAATCCAAGGATTCGTGCAAAAGCCCTTTGTCAAAATGCCAAATCTCTACGTTTAGATGTGTCGCTGATGAGATTTAAATTCAGAACTCAGGAATGTGTCTCATATCCATGGTGCTGAGATACAACAAATATGACCTGTGAACTTTCTCTCAGAAAAACTTAGAAATGTAAGAAGAAAGTAGAGAAATCTCATAAAAAAGTCAAGAGTCACGACTCGGTAACATATATAATACAGAAACATTCGCCATCACGAAGGAAGTAAAAACGCGAGTATATAGGAGTCGATTACGCCGAGGATTACGCTATCTTGCTCAGACGTTCGCTCTGAACATTATCGCAAAGATATTATGCAGCTTGCCAAAATTAAAACATGTTGTTAATGAAATTCGTGAAACCTCTATATAGCTATTTTGTTAATTCGAGTTTTCAAATGGCCATTGTTGTAATTGTTGACTAGCATTTAGTGATCAACTTGCATTTTATTTGACTGGGATTGAGCTTGATGGTTTACAGTATTTAGAATTATCGTGCGAAATATTGCTTACAAATATTTTTATTTAGTTTATTTACAAGGTTTGTCACGAATGATAGGTAAATCCCGACAAACGTTATCACTGCATTACGGGGTCCCTGAATTACAAATGGATATATAAATCGCTATAAAAAAGTTTATATATTCATGGTAAAAACACAACACTGTATTCAGTATTCTCGACATATCAGTTAATTACAGGTTGACGCAAGCCAGTTCTCAATTTTGAATTTCCATATTCAGCTAACCAAGCTAACACTAGCCTGTTCTAAACGTCGCATTTTACATGCGCCGAATGCATTCAAAACAATGGATAATGAGGCATTTCAGCTGATTATCTATTGTTTTGAATGCATTCGGCACATGTAAAATGCGACATTTAGAACAGGCCTTACGCATTTGAGATTAGTTGATTTGAGCACTGAATCCAGTCAACCAGGAAAAACATAAAATTAACATCCATATTGAAGCACGGAGATAATCTCGCGACTTGTCAATTTAGACATTACATTATTGCGAAAACACAGTGTTTGTTCGCTCGATATCTGATGTGGACTGAAAACCAGAAAGTATCAATCAAAGAATAGTCACAAATTCCGTAAAGCAATTGGCATCATTGTTCCCGAAAGGATTAAGAATGTGCTACAAATCTACGCTGTGTGACAAAATTTACATAAAGCGCGTCAAGTCCGTCAAGGTATTTGGCGTGCACTCAAATTGCTAATGTACAAGTGTGACTTTGTAATAAAAACAAATATAAGTGATTAAAACAAGTAAATTGTACATAATAGAAACGAACAATATTTTTGACCACTTGTAGTTGTGCTTAAATGAAGATTAACTTAAACATACAGCAGTTTCCGTTTGTGAGTGCGTTTACATTACATTAAGCGCATTAGATAACCGCGCTCGCAGACATTAGAATAGAAGCTTGTTAGGAAGACTTACATTTCGTTTCACCGTAGAGTAAAATGTACAATTTAAACAATTCCGGTTTCATACGACTTTTGCCGGCATATTGATATGACATATTTATCAAAACAACGCGAAAGTCAAAAACATTTACAGCTGCTAAGCTGACATTCTCACCTGATAAATACAAGGGTTAAAACGTCAATTTTATTCTCCCCTCGGCGTCTGTGATTTTGGGCAATACGAAGTTGACTAAATCGTCTCAATATATATATATATTTGTTTTGGCATTTCTCGCTGTTTCCCAACCGCACCTACTCTTCACTGACTGAGTATTTAGACGGCGCAGTGATTATAAAAGGCCAAGTTCATGCACCCCAGTGTCAAATCGCGACACCTGTCATTGTCTTTATTGAGTTAGATGACTTAAAAATGCAAAGTATTTCCCTTAAAACAAAGCAATGAGCGTTAAAAATGTTATTAGTAGGGCACTATTTTGTTTCCAAGCCAACTAAGTAAACCAAAAGCAGTAATCGCATTCCGAAAATCCACAGTTAATCACAATATATTTTAGCCATAGTACGAACCAGGAAATTGTAGGTTCTAGTGAAATCAAGGGTTTTTTGGGGGGGAAAATATTACATATTTCCTGTGAATCAGCAGGAACATCCCAACTCATCACGACGTCTAAACTACAGTACATTAAATTGTCTTGTCTGGTTCGGTCAACTTTGTATTACGCAAACTATTTTTTTCATATTCCTTCCGCTTTGCCAGACTAGTGAAAATAAGATAACATTCCTTTGTTTTGAAATAAAAAAAGTATACACAATGTAAAAGTCTGGAGAGTTCTTCTTAATTCAATTACCTCGGATCTACAAGATTAATAAATACGCCGCGTGCTTTTAACTCCTTTTGGTATTAACGAAGCAAAGTGGTCATATTTTCCACGTTTTAAGTACTGTATAATGGAATGTTGTGCTAGAGTTAAGGGTAATTCTTAGAAACCGTCCGTTGAAATGTTTACTGAAAATGCATGATATCACAAAATGCATTCGATCGCGCGAATCAGTCACAGGCACAGGATTTTTCACATTTCTCTTCGACAGTGAGATTTGGACGAAAATCGAAATCATATCTCGAGACTGAAAGCGGTTCCGCTTCGGCAAAAGCATTTGGCATGACGTCAGACCAAGGTTTCAACCCGGTGAACATATATGAGATAACACTATGCGCGAAATAAAATTTTCCCAGACATCTCTCCTCCGGAGATTTTTAACAAGGCAAATCTTTAAATTAAAATTATAAGACATAAAGTTTGGCTCAGTCTATAGCATCTCTCGCTTCGCCTAATTAATCGCCCTGTTTATGTCTTTATATACTATATTGAAGCATCGTCTTGTTAAAAAGTCAAGAAAGCCTTGCTGAGGAGTGAGGAGAGAGGTCTCAGACTCTTGGTCTCATGCAAAGAGACCTCTTTTGTTTTCTATCCAGAATTTTTCTACTGTATACAGGAGTATATAAAATTTTCGTGGGCCCCATATATGATTTCTAAACTGATTAAATGATGCTCCCATTATGCTTTGCACGCTTAGAGTTTTATAAGATTTTTAAAGGTTTAAATATTAATATATATGTTGGTTCTAACTTGGTCGGCTCAACTTCACGTGATTTCACCAAAACCATTAGATCAAAACATTGCTATCGGTGGATTGGATAAAACGAGGCCGAGGTGCATGAATTACACCAAAACACCTTGCGCACAAAAACTAAAAGATAGATATAGATTAATTAAAAACATTACAACCCGCGGGTTGAATTACGCTTCAAACACTCATTAATAATTCATAAGCTTATTGGCAAATCATGTCAACCATAATATGTCACGTGCAGTGGCTTTAAACCTGATAAAACACTCCTAATTAGTATTCTTTATAACGAATAAAATAAAACTAAAAAAATAAATAATAAAAAATAAATAATAAATCGAATAAAATAAAACTGGGGGACTAAAATAAAAGCCTGTAGAGGTTTCTGGTAGTCTCCTAGCCCTGTAATGTAATTATAATCGAAAATTAATGTAATTAGCTATTTTGGGCAAATTAAATAAAATTTTAAAAAAAAATTACAAATTAAGGCAGTATATCTATTGAGTATTGAATTTGTAGTCGTGTTTGAAGCCGTTTAATAAACTCGCAGGTCGTGTTTATTAAACAGTACTTATAACTTTATAATGAATATTTACTTATAAAAACCTTCGAAATCCTAAGGTAACAAAACGAATTTTCGTCTTCTTACGAAAATGTGAGAAAAAATGTGTGCTTCAGAAAAGTACGTGGACGTGGTGTCAAACTTGATATAGGGTTACCCTGAAATAAAACATGTTCAATAGTATAAGTTAAAACAGTCGTTACAAATATGACTGGATTATTTTGACTGCGTAGCATGACAATATTCAGAATCGAGGCATTTTTATATGTTTATAGAAGATAAGTATTAAAAATAATTATCATAAATGAAAACGAACAAGAATATTCTTAGACTTCTTCAGAGAGTTTCTAAATACTAGCAATCACAAGATTATCAAGAACACATCTACAGACACATGGTAATATTTAAAGTAAGTATAGACCTCTGCGTGATGTCTCCCTATATAATGTTGTGTTAACCTTGACTTCCTAAATCTAAATATAATTACTGACCTATCGATCCTATTGTTTCATTATGCGGATAAACTGGAATGTGCGCTGATCATTTCCTCAATCAAATATAGACATGCAGCAGTCCTATATATTGTTCACGGATAGACCGGGTAACCTCAGGGAAGTGGGTCAACTCCTCCAATTAAGCTAGAAAGGCACTTTTAATATATCAAGAGTCAGCGCAATCGTCTGATTCGGTTAAAGAATTGAAGTATTGAAAAAGTTTTCTTTGAACACGTTTTCTGACTTGAACGTACCCAGTCTATATGGACAAGAGTGGAACATAATTCGCAGTATGTCACTACTAATACACTTACTACTATTACACTTACTACTATTAAACTTACTACTATTAAACTTACTACTATTAAACTTACTACTATTAAACTTACTACTATTAAACTTACTACTATTAAACTTACTACTATTAAACTTACTACTTTTAAACTTACTACTATTAAACTTACTACTTTTAAACTTACTACTAATACATCATGTGAAATTTCCGGTCTGCCTTCTAACGCTGTTTTTTTGTGTAAACAGATGTTTATTAACTTTACAATCATACAAAATTATAACAATTGAAGGTATGGCCAACAGGACGTGAGTCCCATGTGAAGACCAACCTGATACAAAACAATAAGTGGACATAAATTAAAGACAAGGACTAGAACACTATTTACATAAGGCGAGACTTAGTATTTATTGGTTTACGGATTTTACTTGGAAAAAAACAGGTCGGTAGGTCAGAAAAAAAATTTAAAAAAACATTGTTTTTCAAGATTGTCACAACGATAACATGAGCCAGTAGTACTTAGAGTCAAAGTTTACTTGGCGTGTACTTCATGTTAGAACCCCAAATTAACTAAAATCGTAAAATTGTTGACATCCAATTTTTTTTTTTATTTTTCACTTTCTGAATATTTACGGTCGGCGGATCCGTAAACCAATGAATAAAAAAAGTCTCGCCTAACTATATAAAAATGAATAGTTAGATTATGAGCAACAGCTTTTAATAAAAAGTAGTAAATTTACGTGGTGTTTCCACAAACAAAACTATTATATTTTATCGCCATGCAAACATACAAAGAACTTATAGCTTTTAATAAGTTGAAAGAACGGCATTTAGAGCAGTAGGTTTTCCAAGTGCGCATTCTGTTAACATCGAAAGAAGAGTCTAATTGAGAAGAGTAGTGAGAATGGAGCTGGAGCTTAAAGGATGAAACAGACGAACTGTTACGAAATGATCGGAGAGAGATTGTTCCATAGAAAGACAATTCTGTTAAAAAAAGAGTTTCTAAAAAGAGAGGTTTTGCACGGATTGACTTGAAGCAAGTTGTCCTTGCTTGAACGGGTGCGAGATGAGCGATTAGAAGAAAAGGATGTGTCCATGCATGCATATGCACTTTGGGAAAATTTTGGGAAAATCTGGATTTTCCATGAAACTCCTTGAATGCGATTGCACACAGTATCTGCAATCAGTAAATTCATTCGCCTTTCGCAAACTAAATTTCTTTACCTGTATTGTTTCTGAAAAAAGATGAAGGAATTTGCGAGAGGCTAAGTTTCGATATAGCAATGTATCAAGTGTCATTTCAAAACAAACTCTAAAGCCTTGGTTACAACTCTCCGTCGTGTTTGACCTCCATCATCGACTCTCATGTACTTTTATCAACTTTGAACTGCATGGTTCAAATTTTGCCGGATAAGAATTGAGGAGAATTTTCGCTACGCGCGCAATAATATCCAGCCAACTCTCATCAACTTTCATGTAGCTTTTGTTCTCGTTTGACCGGAGCATGAGAGTTGAGAAAACTCTCATGCAAACTCTCGCTTGCCAACTGCCATCCATGCACTCTTGCACCCTAGCTTGTCTGACGAGGGCTTAACTATACACTACTGTATAGGTATATTAAAGTTGGAAAGGTTAATCCGGCACTGCAGGTACGTAACGTAAGTCAATGCTGTAAAAAACTAAATTCTTTATGCAGCGAGTTTAATTGATATACATGCAGTATAATCGTATTGATTATTTTTATGACAAAATTACTGGATTTTGAAATCTGTATATCTTTTCCGATATTTCACTCATGTGTTTCCACGTCAATTAAAACGAGGCCTCATTAGTTAATCATGAATGGCGTCTCTTTCTCAGAATCAGATATTTGAGAGGCTTTGGAATGATATAATGACTGAAGATAAATTGTTTTATCTATACAAATATTCACATGTCACAGCTTTTGCAAAATATAGAATCAAGTACGAGGCTTCATTAACCTGCAAACGGCGAATCATCAGACTTTTATATTAAACTTTAAAGTTACATAATTAAAATGTCCACATCCAACCATGCTAGACGAATTAAATTTCAGTTTCAAGAATATGTTTTCAAGAATGTGTCCAATTTATTATGATAGTCATGGCCATTAATATATTTGGCAAAAACACAGTTTTATCGCATTATCTTTTAATCAAAAACAAAGGTTTGCAAGCAGCTTACCAAATGTTATTAAAAATCAATGGAAGACTTATTTTTCAAAACAAAAAAAGCTGGTATATATCCGGTAAAATTATCTGAACTTAATTAATTAATGATTCATTTGGAATCGATCCCAGAGTGTGAGAAAATACTGAAAATCGTTCATAATCGAGACAGTTTTCATCAACTCCGTGAGTCTGAAGTGATCAAACCACATATTTCCCAAAATATCACTTTGAAACAACATCTAAATATATACCACTATATACCCAAGGGTATGCAAGGGACATTACAAAAAAGACCAGTTTGTAATGTACATGTCGACTGTGTCTGTGCATATGTTCTGTGTCGTGATAAAATTGCAGTCAACCATAACATATGCGGTGCTGTGCCTACAACAACAACAACAACAACAACAACAACAACAACAACAACAACAACAACAACAACAACAACAACAACAACAACAACAACAACAACAACAACAACAACAACAACAACAACAACAACAACAACAACAACAACAACAACAACAACAGCAGCAACAACAACAACAACAACAACAACAACAACAACAACAACAACAACAACAACAACAACAACAACAACAACAACAACAACAACAACAACAACAACAATTGTTCCATAATTTTGATTAATTATGCATTATCAATCCAAAAGCAACGCGAGTCTGCTGCAAGCTATATGTTTCGTAAAATGTTTTGATTGCGAATGTTCTCTGTTCAGTGGTAAATTGAACCATGTTTAATTAAACAGTTTAATGGACCATTTGCATTATAGACTAAATTTTGCCGTTTTTCAGTCTATTACGCGGGGGAAATTGACAGCCCAATACCCTTTGGGGCTGTCAATTTCCCGTTCGTAATAGAAAATGACTGAAAAACGGCAAACTTCGCAAGGCTATATTATCCGCATTTTACAGCATTTCGCAACGAAACTTCTGAATATTACTAATTTTGTGATGCTCTTTCAAGCTGTGATGAAATTTTTGTCTAGACTTGTTTAGATCAAAATTTAGTCTACAGGGCGTATCAAAAAAAGCGCAACCTCGGAATTTCCCAAGAAATCGACATTGTTTTAAAGACAAAAGATTTTAGGCGCCTGGGAATTTAAAATAGCATAACTGTCAAAACTACTGCACACGCGAGTGCATAAAGCAAAATTTATGCATTTATTTAATGCACAACAACAGTAATATGATCTACTAGCAGGGCCCGCGGAGCGTATTAGAGAGTGGGGGGGCTAAAGGGTGAGGTTTAATTAATTTAGAAAGTTTCATTTAGATTTCTATTTTAATAATTTTGGCTGTCAAAAAAAGTGGGGGGGCTAAAGCCCCCCCCAGCCCCCCCGTCTCCGCGGTCCCTGGCTAGCAATTCGATTTCAATTCCCAGGGGCCTAAAATCTTTTATGCTTAAGAATTGTAAAGTGATTTCTTAGGAAATTCCGAGGTTGCGTTTTTTTTTTATACACCCTGTACGTATAATGCAAATGCTTCATTGAACAAGTTAATTGAACCATGTTTAATTTTAAACGTTCTTATTGTCTCACTAAGACGAAGATTGACGAGTTGAGCTCATTTTAGATAATTTAACATTCAATTTTAATTCCCTCTTGGGAAGTGTCTATATATGTTTCGTTTTCCATGCAATTCCCAACGGTGGAAGAATGTGATTTCGACAGGCAATTTTTATTTGGCGAATATGTGGCCATTTCTCATCGTTATGATTTAAAAAAGAGTATCATTAACAATAACTGTTCTTTCGTCCTATGTAAAAACTGGATTATTTAACCACGTTTATGATGCACGACAGCCTGTTGAATTTCCATTGCGTTTTTTTGAGACACCCTGTATTAGCAAAGGCGTAACATCGCAGATTGGCAGAAACTCGGCGGCTGAGAGATAAACCTGATCGCTGCATTTTGGACTATCTGGAGCCTGCTCTGGAGTTTGGAGATTTGATTGCTAGGTAAACCGTGTAGGAAGAAGTGCATTACAGGTGGTCAGTGCATGTATCATATCATACTCTCCTGCAGAGATTCAGCATTTAAAAAATTCCTTATATACAATTAGTGTCACAAAGATAGTGAAAATACGCAGCTTTAAAGCCGCCGCACACGAGAGCAACTTGCTGAGCTAACTGCTTCGCGTGGCAGCTAGCTCAGCTATGTATTTTCACCGCACACGTTGGGAAAACTAACTTAACAACAACATATATCGACAGTCGTATATCTTCGAAACAAGCTTCGATCGCAGTAACAGCAGATTCTTGCGTAACGTTATCATCAAGAATATACTGTAGAACTGCGTATCGTCGGCGTTGCAATGTACGCAAGCTGAGTGACAGCTGACGATCGAGAAGAGTTCGTTTGTGTAGATTGAGAACAACAGTGGGTCAAAGGCAGGATTCTTGTGGTACTCCATCAGTCTCCATGCGGCATATCGATTCTGTTTGATGTTGTGTTCTCGATGGCAACATGTTGGAATCTGCCTGATACGACCTAAACCAGGCCAACGGCCATGCACTCGCCGAATCCAAATGAGCATTTCAAACGGCGTAGTGATACTGTATGGTAAAACTGGTAAACCGCTAAACCGTGTCGACTGCAGCGCTGAGATCAAGGAGACAGGAGTACTATAGCAGAGTTACTTTCTGGCAGTTCATATTCACGAAGCCGAAGGAGAACCGTCTCATGCGTGCTGATTGTAACTCTGGGAATAGTTCACATGAGATCATGTGATCAAGACTCTGCCGAGCAACAAATTTCTCTGTCAGCTTTGATCATCTATGGCTTTGATACTATTTGAAGATAGCTACCCGGGCGATAATTTTGATTAATTAACTCCACTTTACATCTATATATTATTCAATATTTACATATTATATAATAAAGACAACGAAGATTTTTCAAGGTCGCCTCTTTTTAACTTTGTGATATCCGACTTCGGTTTAATGGTAAAAATAATAATTTTAATAGTTGTCGAATTTCCTGTTCCTCAGACATCACACATTCCAATAACACTTTCTTATTTCTAAGCGTTGTCTTATATAATACACTTTGTTATGAAAAGATATAATCGCCTCCAGAAACGGAAGAACTTAACTGTGGTTATACGTATACGTAACTACGTATACGTAACCAGAGTGGTACGTTACCATGCAAGCTAAATAGTTTATTTTTTATCTGAAAACTACATGAGTAAAGCCGAGAGTAAAGCCTGGATTTCGACTGGAATCAGAGCAAGCTCTGCATGTGAATATACAAGAGAAATAACCAGGAATATCTTTTAAAAACTACCCTTTGTCGGAGAATTAGTGTAAAAGGGAAGAACGAGGGGAAGAATTCATATGTTAAGTTTCAGCTGGCTGAGAAAGAACCAAGTCAAAGATAAAAAAATTAAGAGTATATGCATAAACACACAGCAACTATAACTTTCTCTCGAGTCTTGCGCATCCCAGCCTGCGTGCAGCCTCAACCCGAATTTTTGTAAATCAACTTGAGTCTGCGCATCCGGAAAGCAAAGCTTGTTCAGTCACGTGGATTTCCCTCTGAAAAACGGGGAACGTCTGTCATTGGTCAGTTACTAAATATTCATGATTAGTGATGATTAGTGCTAAACGCGAAATAAATTTGTTGAATTCGAATTCATGCCATCGCCCAAATGAATTTTGTTTCATAACATGCTGATTTCATAACGATAGGAAAGAAATGCGACGTTTACACTAGTCCCTTGTACAAAAGCAAAATGGTTTTCTTCGAAGCATACTTCGAAATTATTTATGTTTTATTTAAAATTTAGGGTTTGGGGTTTAGATCAGGGTCATTATATGATATGTGCGCGAAATTACAAACTGCCTCAGTTATTAAAACTGTTAGACGTTGTAATCAAGAATGTTATTGACTAACACGTTTACAACATATGGATCGACCGTACAAATATCCAACTGCTGAATTGTCCATTCGTATTTTACAACTCACAAATTAGCCACAATAGCACTGTCTTTATACTGAACTATATACACTTTCACAAAGTCATTTCCAAATGACGTCATTTTTACTTCGCCCTAAAAGCTGGGAGAAATAAGGTGAACGTGAAAATCTAGTACTGACCCAATCAAATCATGTTTTTAGAGACATCTCAACATGGTGTGGAAACTCGGTCAAATTTTTTATTCTTCTTTTCGTTGATGCACTGTAAAAACACATTTCATGGTTAAAACAACAATAAGTAATTGTTTTTGCAGTTGTGTTCATACAGAGTTGCCGGTTGCGCACGGTGAGGACAATAACCTTTTGGCATATACTATGAAAGCAATCATCCAATCGTCGAAGCACCAATACAAATTACAAAAGTATAAGACAACGGAGACGCAGTAGGATCAGACTAATACTGACCCTCAATCTATTGTCCTGTTGCTATAGAAAGTTTATTGTTTAACACCAGGATTAGTTGTTTTTCTGAACATTTTTCACATTTTTGCACGAACAGTTCTCAGACCTCAAACGTCAGTGAGGCTGAAACCTGTGCTTGTTCAATGTGCACATGCGCAATACGCCCTTCGGCACATTTCTAAAAAATAATCAAACCAATGAGTGTCTAAATTTCATGGATAACAGTGGGAGATCCAAAACAATGAAAAGACAATGGAACATTCCAAACACAAGGACATTCCAGATAACGGATAACCATATAATATTTTGGGAACAATGTCAGCAAGACAATAGATCTATCGCTAGGCGATTGACATCATTCTATAACAGCTGATTAATAACAACATAAAGGAGGTCAAAATAATAATGTTTGAAATTTTAAACCCTCAATAAACATAGATTAAATATCGTTGAGCCCACTTCAAAACGAAACTATTTGATCTTTTCAAAGAAAGATCTATCTTTTCTGGAGCTCCGATCGCGATCTCAATTGAAAAGTTCCCGTCTCAGAGAATTGAGCCCCCGAAAAGTAAAGACAGTCCTGTTAATGTCATAATAGATAACGGAATTTAGAGTGAGTTGAATGTTATGACTGTCACACTTTCACCCTCGAATTTCCAAAATTTTAAGGCACCAATACGGCAATAGACCTTTCCCCTTTATATGAATGAAATTTTGATCTAGACAAGCCTCGACAAAAATTTCATCACAGCTTGAAAGAGCATCACAAAATTAGTAATATTCCGAAGTTTCGTTGCGAAATGTTGTAAAATGCGGATAATATAGCCTTGCGAAGTTTGCCGTTTTTCAGTCATTTTGTATTACAAATGGGAAATTGATAATCAGTTTAATCATCTGATTACCAATTTCCCGTTTGTAATGCAAAATGACTGAAAAACGCCAAAGTTCGCAAGGCTATATTATCCGCATTTTACAACATTTCGCAACGAAACGTCGGAATATTAGAGAGGTTAAGATACCCCGGTTTTGGTGTACGGGTACGAGTAGTGTCATCTTGTTTTACTAATGTCTGTAATTTGATCATACTTTTTCTGTTTTCTTGCAATAGACAATGATATAACGCGAAAAATGTGCACCTTAATTACGAGTAAAGGTACAGACATCGACGAAAATATTGCTGACCAAAATCATGCTACCCGTACACGTACATCGAAACCGGGGTATCTTAACCTCTCTATTACTAATTTTGTGATGCTCTTTCAAGCTGTGATGAAACTTGTCTAGATCAAAATTTTACTCAAAAGGGGAAATTGTCTATTCACGAACGGGTGGATAGTACACGAAGGGGATATTGGGAAGAGCAGACCAGGAATTTCAGAGGTCATAGAATTTTCAGGGCTTTGTCAATTTATAGAGCACGACTTACTCTCGGACAATTAAAAGCATGACAAAACGACCATGATCTAGACAGGTGAACAACGGAGGTCTTAACGAAATCAGTGAAGCACTGGATCCTGAACAGCTTAGCTTTTTACTTTGACAGGAATGCAGAAAGTAATCCTTTTTCTTTCGTCTGCTTGCATCAGTTGTATGCCTTTGGGCATTTTCACCTTGCATTTTGCTTGGAAATATTTTTCCTTTCTGAGCTTCTACACCTCTGATCTATCTTCGATATCCCCGAGGTGCCTCAAAATAACGGCTTATTTTTCACATTGCTTACTGTTTTGCCTTTGAATTTGGTCATTGTTTTCAGCCCCGCTCTCTCCTGCCAGTGAAATCAAAAGCCACCCCCAGCTTTTCACTCACTTAACTGGCAGGGGATATTAAATATATTTCCTCTAAAGGACGAAGAAGACCGAGTAATGTGAAAAATAATATAAGATCGATTCTCAGATATCAACATGTAAATAACTGTAACATTGTTTGCTGGGTGCATGATATTGGAAAAACGTACAGATATTTCGACACAGATTAACACCACCAACTTGTAGAATTATCACACAAAAATGTATTAAGTCTTTCAAAATTATTCTTGGAACCAACCTTTGTAAGCCTGAAGAGTCGTCTGGAAATGATTCTACCTAAAGAAAGCTAAAAACCGGGGCGCATCAACTCCAATACCACTTAACAATACAAACATTAATACATTATGCTCAGTTTGTCCAGACTGAGTTATTTTACTTCAGGCGTATTTTAGGACTATGTAATTGACAGAAAAATTCGTGTCGGTGTGATTGCCTTGATACGTTTACTGATTGAGACGTATTCTAATTAGCTTTCTATACATAAAGAAATGAATACCTCGATCCTCATGGAAAGATGGAATGTGAGTCAAGATGGCGACTGCACGACACGTTGCTCAGCCGTACAGCGCAAATTTAAATAATTCCAAAATCATGAGGCTGACGCCGAACAGAGCAGTTCAACCTAAAATTTCTAAACTTGATGAAACCAAAATGAAAGAAGCGTCAACCGAATAAAAAGTGCAACTGTAAGGTATTTTCGACATGATAAAAATGGTGATGAATAAACTTGGATTTAATTGAAAACAGAGTCAAGACATTTGAACAACATAAAAGTGTTTTAAAAATTGTAAATAATCTACTTTTAGTTACGAACATTGAACTGCAATGCTATATGGTAAAATATATTTAAACTAGGGGCCTAAAACAAAAGCCATATGGTTTCTAGTAGGCTCCTATCCCTTGCTTTTATGTAACTATATTATATTTTGTATGCAAAAACTGTAATTCACTTAAATTGAAATAAATAAAATATACTACTAATGAGAAATATGTGGTGTGGTTGATGCAGGTATATAACACAACATTGGTCAACATCTCTGCACGTAGTGTTTAGTTAAGTAGTCACGAAATGTGCAGAGACATGTAGGAAATTAGACTCCTCCACAAAGAACAATACAGTTGCCTGCGGAGGAGGCTAGCAGGAAATCGAAATATTTAGTTTTAAAGCTGGCAAACTGCTCGGAGAAATGTTTCATGTTTCGTTTCCGTTAAAGTTCAGTCTTTGGCCACAGAATATATTTAATCCGCAATCGTTCGAAATTTTACAATGTGCTTTCTATACAAATCAAACTTTCCTGTAGACAGCAATTAAACGACGGCAAAGCAAATTCTCATGCTGTACAAGCCAGTGTGGGAAAATACGCGTATGGGGTTTATCGTGCAGAACTTGTGAACGTTTTTCAGGCGCAGTATGATTACCATTTATTAAATTAACATCTATACAAATAAACAAGAACAATTGTTTCCGCTATACAAGTAATCAAGAAAGTGACAGAACAAAAATAACCTGGTTCGTTGCGCAAACCTATGGCATTTGTAGTGTCTATTCTATTGAAGTTCCTGCTTGGAAAATCTTGACATCAGGTGCCCCTAGGAAATATACCCCAAATACGCGCATTGTCCGTTTGTCAATGTTGCGCGGATTCGGCTAAAGCTGGACGCGTGAACTTTGCATGCAGAGCAAAGCGGATAAAAACAAAACGTCTCATTAACTGATTAACATAATATACGAAACATGAATAATGTCACAACATTTCACTACATGGTGATAGATAATATATTCTACTTACTTGCGCACACTGAAAGAGTGGACTGAGTAGAGGATGGCAAATGGCAATATAGTTTTCTGAGCACCAGACAGATGAAATCCTTGCAATAATCTCCTTGTTGCGACTTTTCACAGGCTACAATCTCCTAAATATATAATTACAAGCTGTATCTGCATTCCAACACTATTTCAAAGCTTCATTTTCTTCGCACCGGATACGTGACTCGACAATTGTTATTAACGATACAGTATGTTGCCACATTCCGCGTATATACACAGAGGTATATATCAGTGGTGTATATATGTATTACAATATTTATATCTAGTTTGTTACTTGAAGTGGGCTACGTATATATTGTGCAACACTTATAGTTATTAATGCGCATGCTCTTTTCAACGAGAATGAGAGCTGTGACAACACATACCCGAACACATAATCTGCGAACTATAGCAACGGAACAAAATCTTGGTAAGGACAGTAGCACATTCAGTTATGACAAAGTGAATTTTTATATAATTATTTGTAATCCTCTGAAGCAGGATATAAAAGACTGTTTAAATCAATTTTATATGTTTGTAACTTTAAAAATAAGCAACAATTCCACACCGTATTGATTGCTAGCAAAATTACAAATTAAACTAATTAAACCATAAGGAAAACTCCCTAGCTTAGTTTAAGTTTATATTAAAATTGTCTTACGCTATGTACATTATAACTTTCTACACAAACAGCCTGTAACTTTATATTGTCTATAATATATGGAAATCCAATTATACATATGGGATATTGGCATATATGGAAAATCATAAACTTTTTAAATATTGGCCATCTTTCTTCACTGGAGTGGAGTTTCTGCAACGGTCAAAAATTCGTCACGTTATGAAACGTATATGAACGCGGTCATCGAGACGTCTTTAGATTGCTCTTTCCATGAGGATCACAAATATATAAAATTCCTGACAGCTTTGTATTTCGGTCTTTAGCTCCGTTGTTATGGTATAAATACGTATCCCGAGGCTATTTTCGCGGGTGACTTAATGACTATTTGAGACTATTGTTCTTTAATACGCAAATCTGCAGCTTCAAATTAGCAAAAATAATCTGTAATCTGGTTACAAAGAAATTACATGAGATTAATTACTTTCGTGATCAAACACTATAGTGGTATTGGTTGACCAGTTGAGGAATGAGGTGACATACGGCAATATAACGCGTGGTTATAATGCAATTACGCGTAGATAAATTAAAGTACAATATTGTATTATTGGCTTTGGGCAAACCAGAATCCAGTTTGTCACATCTCAAAGAATTAACTCGCAAGCTCAATCCATGCAAGTGCTTAATTAAAGGCACAGTTCAGCCTTTTGAATGATGGTTTTTAAGGCGCATTACAACCCTTTTAATTGAAAAAACTAACTAGGAAAATCAATTAATTAAGCATAATTCAAGATTATTGATTTCAATGTATTTAACTTTTTAAAAAATTTTTAATGTTAATAAAAACATTGAGTTCACTGATCTTGAATTATGCTTAACTGATTAGTCTGATTTTCCAAGGCTGAACTGTGCCTTCATTGTAAGCTGCACTAAGCAGAAAACGAGACATGGTTTGGAATACTGGCAAACTTGGCAAAGGCCTATTCGCTATAGTGGTTGACCAGTTGAGAAGACCAGGTGACGTACGGCAATACATAATGCATGATTATAATGCTCGTACGCGTAGATAAATTAGAATAATATTGTATTATTAGCTTTGGCCAATCCTATGGGCAATCACAATATAATAAGCTAACACTGCACACTTTTCAATAATTACGTCATGAATACTTTTTTGGCCTGGGAGCCTTAATTGCTCTTATATGAGTCAAGACAAGTCAAGACAAGGTTTATTTTAAGAAAAAATTAGAACTGCACATATTAAGGATGCTACGAAGCATCACGTGTTTGACTGGGGGTCAAAGGATTTTTATCTATAGTAACGTTGTAAATTTATAGTTAACGTTGTAAATTATGATAGACTCTTAATTTGTATATAGGTAGTAAAAAAGTTGTGGTTGGGTGGTGCCAAACAAACTCGATTCTGAGTGGGGGAGCTACAGGTAGGGGTGTCCCCCCAAAATTTGAATTTAGAGGCTCGTAAGTTCTGGCAAAAATTTGTTTCACCCAACCACCCACAAAAACTGTTTCAAAACATGTAACTGGGAATCATGGATACTCAATATATAATAACCATTGGCAGCAAAGAATATTAGGTTCTCCCACTCTAATCTCACTTTTGGATAGCTTCGCTCGCATAGATATCTTATATCTATGTTCGCTCGCACCAATTTTACCACCTGTTAACTACATTACCCCCAGCACGTATGTCATTTGTGAGGAAAATATGAGGGTCTGGTGGTCCTCTCCCAGAAAACATTTAGATTTTTGATGCTCAATGACAGCATTATGGCATCTGGAGTATCCGCAAGGAAAACAAGTAAATGATTTATGCAGTTCTTAAAACTCAAATGTGCAGTCACCAAATTAACAAAAATATAACCTCAAAACAGACTGTTTTGAGGTTATATTTTTGTTAATTTGGTGACTGCACATTTGAGTTTTAAGAACTGCATAAATGGGTTTAGAACTGCACATTTTGTGTAGAACTGCACTTTAAAATAAACCCTGAGTCAAGACGAAATGCGATTGGCTCACGATTATCGAAATGGCGCACATGTATTACTGCAAGACCGACTGTTATTATAAGTACTGTACATATTTAGTTACTGGTAGATTAGATTTACTGATATATGTAATGGTAAAACGTCTTATAGTTTATACAGACAAATTCCATGCATGTTTGTGGGTTTTCTACGCAAAAAGTGCTTAATTAAAGGCCATGTAAAGTCCGTAATGTAAACAAAGTGAAACACTTTGTTTACATTTTGAACTCAGTGCTATAGTTGTAAAATATGATTAGATATATATTACACTGAATTTCTAACACTATTCTGGTTCGCTATGCTTGTAAATGAATACAGACTAGAGCCTCAATTCAAGAAAG